ACTCAAGGTGTTACCACATCAAGTAAGTACTATTAAAATATCCCCTAAGAAGCTTTCTTAACAGTCTATCATACAACATTAGCTAACTTAGCGTATCTAAGGTTAGTAAGAAGAAGAATTGTATTTTCCCTCTTCTATGAGCTCAGCAAATTCTTTTTTTATAGGACCAGGAGAACCGCATAACTTGAAGTCACGTAGAATAGGAAAATCTTTTATTACTTTGACATGGGAAAAACCAAAAGGAATGATAGAAGATGAAACAGACTATATGGTATGTGCTCATCAAACACGAAATGGTAAAAAAAGTTAAAAGATTAAGAGTAACTTGCTTTATCTCCAATATGTAGAAATGCCACGAATATGTTATTTTCGAGGGCGGGTAATCTTCGAGTTACGCGCTTCGAGTTACGCGCTTCGAGGTACGCGCTTCGAGTTACGCGCTTCGAGTTACGCGCTTTTCGAGTTACGCGCTCGATCACGCCCACATTTGCCTCGGCCACGCCCAGCGCATAACTCGATGCAACTAACATACATTAGTTTCTTCGAGTTACGCGCCTAGCGCGCAACTCGATGCAACTAATGTATGTTAGTTGCATCGAGTTACGCGCTTTTAAATGAAAATCAATTTAAATGAACAGAATCACGCCATTTCTTCACAAAGTCACTCAACAATGTTTTTTTTTAATATATTTCTATCACTGGAGGTGACAAAACAAAAAGAAAAACATAAATGACTTTTCTTCGGACGTTGTATCATGATGCATGATATCAATGGAGATCAATGTGGGTTGTGTACTGACATCCGATTAATGATACGTCGAAAGCCCCTCGTTAATGGGTTAATTGAGGACGGACACAGAATTTAGCAAATAAAAATTAACTTGCATTGTGAAGATAAAGAGAAGCCATTTCTGTTAGTAGATTTAAAAAAGACGTACATATTGGTGTACGTCATATTCCAATTTATCTTTCTATCAAAGGTCGAATGATAGACGACCCTTACATCATAGAAGTATCTATTTCATCAATGTGAACGCAAGAAGTTGTTGTGAATAGTGTATTGGAAATAACTGAATGTGAAATATTAGCTAAGCTATAACATATTTACCTATAGAGTACTCACAAAAATACTATTTTATAGCGGAGATACAAGCGATTTTATGGTCGGCTTACCACTGAAACGCTTTGTAATTTGGGCTCGTTCATAACGAAAAGAACGCGACCAAATTTACAAGCGTTCGCATGTAGTCACCCGACGATAAAATCGCTTGTATATCCGCTATAAAAGACACTATAAGAGTCTCATATTGAGCAAGGATGCATTAAATCATGCACTTTCAGAATATGGAGACCAAATTTAAAAACTCAAACATTTTCAAACATTTTCGAGCAGCCTAAAAGGGCTACCATTTGTAATTTTAAAACTTGACATATTTCATATTCTATATATATTTTATATATTTTGCTTCAAAAATAAAAGCCGTAAAAGCAAGGAGCTCTTTTTTATATTGATTTTAATTTAAAAGCGCGTAACTCGAAGGCACTAAGCTATTTTAGTTACATCAAGTTACGCGCTAGGCGCGTAACTCGAAGACACTAATGTATTTTAGTTGCATCGAGTTATGCGCTGGGCGTGGCCGAGGCAAATTTGGGCRTGGTCGAGCGCGTAACTCGAAAAGCGCATAACTCGAAGCGCGTAACTCGAAGCGCGTAACTCGAAGATTACCCGATCCCGTTATTTTCATGAGATTAAATGATGAATGCAAAACAAATTCATGGAACTTTTTTATATTACTGGCTGTAAATATGAGATATGGATTTCAAATGCTCATGTTCAAAGTTCTCTCATCACCGTTTTTGACAAATGATAAATTCAATTAGGTAATACTCCTCAAAACAAAGGAATCGCATAAAGTTATACAGAAATGTAGGAATATTGATATTTTCCCCACTGTTTGTTTTCATATTTTAATATATATTTGTGTTTTTGGAATATATTCTAGACATATTTTTTAATATAATTTTGTTGTTGTTGTTGCGTTGTTTTCAATGATAGTACTTTATTTTCCGTAATTCCTGTTTTCTTTTTTATTTCATGCAAGGTATATTTTAAGGGTTCAAAGCCATACTGGCCTGACTATAGATCTCCACTCAAATCTAAAAAGCAAGATGGTAAACAAACAACACTTAAGATAGACAACTTGCATCCGGGGACATTCTATGAATTCTGGGTAACAGCGTTGACAGTTTGTGGTGAAAGCAACAGGAGTTTAACAGAATCAGTGGAAACAAAAGTGGAGAGTATGTATCAGGCCATATCAACGTTTTTATGAGCCGGGATTTATATCTGTCATTAATAAAGTTGCTCCATTTTCAATCGACAGAGCCTCGTATTGAACATCAAGTAACTCCTTTGATTCTTAAAGACAGTTCTAACGTCACATTATGGACATTCAAACCACACAATGGACCCATTAGGTACAGAAGTCCTTAATCAATTATCAATCGATACTACTGTTATATTGTTTATGCATCCATTCACTCAACANTTGAATAATGCTCGTGAAATTTCAAAGTATTTCAATTGTCTTCTATACTCTGGCATTTGTACGGGCTGTTAGTTTATAAACGAATTCATTACATGGTTTGAGGCTTACAGAGCGTAAAATGATCTTTGACCTTTTCAGAAAAAATAACATACAAACAACACTACATTTCAATCACCGCATGAACAAAAGCTTCGTGTGCTGACATTTGTCTTAAACTGTGATATATATATTCATGGATGTCCTCACGGAGAAGATCAAGCTCAACGCAATGGGCAAATATTGCCAAGTGGAAGAATATACGAAGAGTTACAAAATATTTTTGGAGAAAAGCCAGCAAGATTTGAGACTGGCAAAAAATCTTCGCTGTTATCTACCAGTGGCAATGGAGGCCGTTCATATTACAACAGACGCGTGCAGAGTATTAAGCATTGGATCGGGAGATGGAGAGGTGGATTTGAAAGTACTGAAGGTCTTCAAGGAAGTCACCAAAAAGAGGATTTTCTGTCGAGTGATTGASCCCAACGAGTATTCTTTGAACAAGTATAAGACATCTATTGAGAGCTTATCACCCRATGATGACATGACGTTTGATATCAACAAACCCAAAACATTTCAGGAGTACATGACAGAGTCCTTGGCTGAACAAAACCAGTTTGACGTGGTTCATTTTGTCCAATCCATTTATTACATGGATTTTGAAGAGGCTTTAACTCACTGCTATGAGAAAGAACTTGGCCGTGGAATGATCATGTGTGTTTTTGGTAAGTGATATAGTCTTCCCTGCGTACATTACATATGCAGTGCACAACCTCATCGTATGTGTAAAAGGATACACATAGACAGTACAGTTCTTCTGAATGCATATTTGATGTAGACATTTGGGGCAACTATTGAAGTCTGGATCAAGAAAGTAGTCAGGAARTTTTGAAATTTTGAGCCTCRGAAATGCGATTTCCAGCATTTTGAAGGGCTTTGAGAACATATTATGTGCAGTCAATCTATCAAGATTTTACTTAACACTCAGACAAAAGGTCATTAGAGTAGAACTCAACACAACCATTTTTAGCCGATTGAATTTCTATTCTCTCTCGAGCAGGATATTATAGGTTATTTTTTAAGGGCAGACTATAAAAAATATCAGAAAAAAGTATCGTTGAAAAAAAAATTGCATAAGTTGTTAAACATTGCGTTATTTAGTTCATTTCATGTAAAAAAAAAATTATTGTTCATTCCATAAATATATCTTATTACAATTATTAGTCACAATTTCCAGTACTTCACAATAAATATTGATTATGTCAGCACAATAAGTTATTTAGAGTTTCATATTTCTTAAATGTATTAAATCTTCTGAAAGTTTGTTTTTATTGAATTCCTTTGCAGCTGCAGATGATATCATGTTTGAGGCGAAACAAAAGCTGTTTGGCATTTGCCAACCAAACCAAAGTATCTCACAASTTGTCAAGCAGCAAGGCTGGAAATACCAAGWGTACAAARACGAGTACATGCTCGACGTAACGGAAATCATGGATGATCAATCAGAGACTGGAAACTTATTGTTAGACTTTCTCACGCATACCACGAATTTTCGTAACACCGCTGGCCACCAGATGACGAAAGCAATCCTGGATGTGATTGACGACTTGTCTATTCAAAAGGACGGAAAACTATTTTGCAAGAAAGTCGACTATTACACCTTCATATTCAAATGAACTGACATTAAGACATCGAATGACTTTATCGAAAATCCGTCCTAATTTACCTAAACTAGCATATCCATATCAATGACGCACAAATGAAAAGCGAGTCATTTTCATCCGAATGTGAAATAGGAATTNAATGACGTCATAGATATCAGGTAATTTTTATAAATTATATATCTATATCTATATAACCAGTTAAATATCATATTTAGGCGTTACTGCTCTCCTGTGATGTTGTGGTTCGTTTTGTATCCATGGTAACAGTTGTGACGTCATAATTGTGATGACGTCATTTCCTATAGTGCCTTTGTCGTCTTTGAATAATATGACTCCAAATCTCACTTTTTTTTGTCTACATCGTTTTTTTATGGTAAAATTTACAATTTGAGAAGTTTTTGAAGTTAAACAATTTGGAACAAGCAATTTTGAGAAGAATATCCGCCATCTTAGGATCCGCCATCTTGGACCGCCATCTTGAATTTTCTAAAATGCCATTAAAAAACTAAGCATTGAGGCAAACAGCTCAAAATGTCTTAAATACTTCTCAAACTAACATTTAATGAATAAAAAAGTGAGTTTCGAAGTGTTACTGATGATTTTAATGAAATTTTCTCCCATGTGAAAAAATGACAGAAAACTACCCACCCCTCCCCCCAATGTTTTTGTTGTCGAAAAAGTATTATGGTATTGTAGAGTCAGCAGTGGGAGCAAGCTCAAATATGTAAAAGATGCATAATAAAACAAGAAATAAGCTTTAGAAATGAAAAATTAAGCATATTTTACATTTTTGAAAACCTATGTGTCAAAAACTGGTTGCCATGGCGACATGGATGACGTTATCAACAAACAATTTACATCAAAATCTGCCCAGATAAATTTTATCGAAAGTTTCAGAGCTCTAGCTGTCTCGGTTCGAAAGTTATTGGCTTGTAACGTGAGGGGGGCTTCAAAAGGCCCCCTCCCCCCCAGTCTGAATCTGAATAGGGTTTTTGGGAATTGCCAGCATGTGGTTTTCCTTCGAAAACAATGGGAGTGTGTGTTAAAAATGGGATAATGGCCTCGCTCCTCGGCTTATTGAAAATAATGACCTCGCGCTGTGCGATAAGCTTCGGAGCTCATCCATGACCCTATACATAACCTTCCAGTGGGAAAGGGGATCAAGATGTAATACGATATATAGTGAAGATTGTAGCTAATTCTAATGTTTTGCGTTTTCATGAGTTATTGTTTTATATATGAGGTTGTTTCACTGAGGTAAAATCTTATAGGTGCAATTTGATAAGCTTATAACATCCGCATTTATTTTCAGTTCATACCAGGTAATTGTGGCCAATGGCAGAAATAAGAGCATGACCGAAATACCAGAAAACCTTAGTGACTACCAAAAGGCCAGCAGCAATAACAAACTGTTCTACATCACAGCCGAGCTAACACCAGAGCAAATAAAGACTGCAGGAATGTTAGTCATAGGTGACAATAGAATGTATGGAATATACAAAAATGTGGCTTTGAAAAAAGGTCAGACTTACACCGTAGCTGAGAGAGCCATCACAAAATATAAAAGGGTAAGTGAAATGTAGTTTGATTTGATGGGATTCTTTAACATTCGTTACTCATGTTGGAAAAGGCCTTTGTAAAAAAGAAATCGATCAGCACTAGAAATGTCTGTTCAACGGGGTAATGCTTTTTCTGCTTTCCATGTGTCATCTCTCARTCCTTAATTTCCACATTGGATCGTAGCATTTTTTTTCCTTTTTTCGACTTTCACCATTATTCCAACCTTGTTGTAATCCCTCCATTTACGATTCAGCTTTTTCGTACTTTTGCCATTTTTCTTGACTAAATTTATGATAATTCCGCTCCAAACAATTTCTTTCAGAAAACTTACGTGAGTGACCCAATCCATATTGCAACAATCGAACTTACTGCAGGTAATAGACGAATATAACATCAAAAAAAGATGAAGGCTATGTGATTTTGTTTTGCAGACATTTTCATACNNATAGTTGCTAAAAATTAAAGAGTAGTCACTGAAAAAATCCGCGGTTTATCTGCGAAGCAGAAAACGGATTTTCTCATATTTTTTTAAAATGAGAGGTCAATTTGGATCTTTTGTCAGCTATAATATATTCTACATTTTCATAATGTTTAAGAAGAGCTCGATAATCTCTTAGCATAGGAGCTTTATATTTTGCTCTTGATGTATAGAGAATGTATTTAAAAAGAGTAAATAAAAAAWTTTCAAAAGTATCACCTTCATAATCCAACCAAACATTTTTSAGGCTATGTTCAGGCAGGTTAATCTGGTTTGAATTACTCAGCCAGTTTTTRCAATCCAGATAAAAGTTTCTAGTTTCAGTACAATTTACAAAAWAGTGTTCAAAAGACTCATCATAAGTGAGACCARAAACCTATAAGKGATTTGAAACGTSTAACGACRTGCCAACCGTTGGAATATTCAAATCTAATTTGCCTTATTTGACCTTATTTGGAACAATTAAATATAGCCTATAAAAATTCGTATCCCGCGAGCCCATGTAATGTCCTCTGTATCTTCAGATAGTCGATTGAATTGCTCACTAATTTCACAATTCACTCGGCATTGGATAGTCATCAGGCTGGCTAAACTAAAAACAGTACTGATTCATTTTGATTCATATGTCGTAAAAATGACCCAGCMAAATGACGTTTACTAGCAATTTAGAATCCATTTTAATTAACAAGGTAAATCGCAGTTAACTCCTATTTCCGTATTTCTTTAAGATGCATGTTACATGCTGCATGTTGTTCGATATTACCATATAGTTGATATATGTCTATTTTTAATTAAATGGACGTTGTGTTTTGGTTGTGGTTTTTAGTTATTTTTAGTTCTGGCTTTCTGAATAATGGCATCAATTTACTGTAACACATAACTCTATAAGAGAGTTTTCGAAGCCAGCTAATTGTCTAATTGTTATGCATCATGCATCGCTGCAGTCACGACTACTACATTGAATGTTTTTAACACACGATACTCCTCATAGCTAGTTTTTGCGTCTGAAGGAGGAAAACCAGCATACCTGGAGGAAAACTTTCGTAGCAATGAAGAGAACCAGTGTAAAACTCAAACCATATAGTTCCTGGCTGGTGATAGACCAGCGTTTTCAACACTTGGGCATCACTGCACCCATGTTAGGAGTTTAGCCCTTAAAAGTCCTAGTAATCCTCTATTCGTACGCCATATTTCACTTATTAAGAATATATTACGATAATGAATGAAATGAAAAGAGTGATATGTAATTTCAAGGAAGGATATGAACAGAATGAAATTCGACGTATGAAACCAAAGCAAGTATCAAAAGCGCCCACAGTCAACCAGTGTCCTCGATACCGAATTGTCTGTAAATGGAGTTATATTGGCACATAACTTGGTATCCGCAGTAATCCTTGGCTTGCTCGAAAGGCCAAATTTCACTGAGATATGATTTCGTGATAATTATACTGTAATTTTGTATTTTAATATAGATCAAAGCGAAACATGTTTTAGACAGCTAGGCTTTAACGATTGATTCCCTTAAGCGGATCRATTCAGTTTTTTTAGCCATATATTTCTGAGGCATGTCGGTTGTATATCTAATTAGCTACTAACAAACATAAGACACAGAAACACAAATCATCATTCCTATTGTGTGAATTTGTCGGTCGCATCAGTGACTTTCCTTCCAAAGTCGTTTTGATAGTGATTGCTGACAATTTCAAAGATCAAAACCTCACAAACAATCTCTGGAGAAAATGACTACCACATCGAAACAGAAATTTTCACATTTTCTGATATTTATAATTTTGAATATGTTCCTTTTTGGTATTGTATGGACTGGAGAAACAAGTAAGTCAAAAGAGTATTCACTCTTCATTCTTTGTCTAGGCAGAAGAGAGGATTTAGTTTAATACGTCTTTTTCCCCGTTTAACCCTTTGACTACCAATCGTACACATTTTTCAGAATAATCGACCCATGAATCGACCACTCTTTTTAAAAATAAATTCCTTTTTCTCTGTTTAGTGACCAAGGTGCTAACAAATGTATTAGTTGTGTTGTTTAGGGAATTACCTGCTTACTAAATTCTAAACTAAGACTTCTGCTTCTTTTTCGTGACGATTACAGTCACTTTTGTTTTGGTGAGATTTGAGCTGCAAACGCTTACAAGTTAGACAAGGACACTAGAGAATGTCCTAATTTCTTTCCAGTTCTACCGCTCAAAATCCTTACATCCATGCCGAAACTCAACTTTTTCTGGAAATTTAGCATTTTCAATTTACATTGTTCAGTCTATTGACTATTGTTTTATTGAGCAAGCCGAGAAAAAGCTGCTTTTTTGGTCCATTCTCCGACGCGCATGTTTTCTTGGGCTACACTCGCACAGATTTATGGGTAACTGCGTATTTTCTCGACAGGGACTACCCCATACTCTGTAATTTGAATAGGTGCCAAGTCATTCGGCCCTACCCACAAAACATTGAGCCGATTACTTTTTTTAGAAGTCCAAACTTGCCGAAACTAGCATGGTAGGTCGCGAAGCCAAACACAAGACAGCCAGGGAGCCGATTTCACTCTAATGGCGCCATCGGCTTCAAAACAACTGACGATCGCCATTTTCTTCGCAAAATCGCTTCACTCCTCTGATTGCTTCCAGGAGAGCGCCTCTACCGCCTTGTCGAGCTTTTAAAATAATGCAAGTCTAGGGGCTCTCGTACTTCCGTTTGACTTCAGTTTTAACAATTTAGAATCAAGTTTTGCTGTGTTTTGAACGAGCTGTTCGCTATTCAAAATAACGAGCAAAAACTTAGCAGGCATCCCTAGAGAGTTTGAGTGTTTGGTTATGTAAATCGCCATCAGTTCCCTTGACAACCGTGAAGTCAGTGCCGAAATCGGTTTTTGAAGCTTTACACCTTTAAAGCGGTTAAAAATAATTGGTAATTAAAGGGTTAAAGCGAGCGATAGCTGTTTTAGTTGAAAACAGTCACGAGACTAAACGAAAGTGCGAAAAAATGTTGTCTTTTACAATATAGCTCCACAAATTTGCATTTCCTCCGATTTGTCTGAATGCTTAAACTTTAGATTTTGTGGGAATGCAGGCTTAGCCTCATGAGTTTCGCGATCTCTTTTACGATGTCATAGCCTCAATTGTGTGCTAAAATATTCAGAAATGTAGATAAAACTCGTGAGATTTCAAACTGTTCCACTGCCTGCTATACTCACAGATCTCTCGCATTTGCTCGGGCTGTTGGGAATAAAAGAATTTATTACATGGTTTTGAGGCTAACACAGCGTAAAAGATATCACTAAGAGGGTTTGTTCAGAAGAGATACAAGTTTATAGAGTTATTGTAATGTCAACATTNCCTGCCTACTAAATTCTAAACTAAAACTTCAGCTTTTTTTTAGTGACGATTACAGTCACTTTTGTTTTGGTGAGATTTGAGCTGCAAACGCTTACAAGTTAGACAAGGAAACTAGAGAATGTCCTAATTTCTTTCCAGTTCTACCGCTCAAAATCCTTACATTCATGCCGAAACTCAACTTTTTCAAGAAATTTGGCATTTTCAATTTACATTGTTCAGTCTATTGCCTATTGTTTTATTGAGCAAGCCGAGWAAAAGCTGCTTTTTTGGTCCATTCTCCGACGCGCATGTTTTCTTGGTTTACACTCACACAGATTTATGGGTAACTGCGTATTTTCTCGACAGGGACTGACCCATACTCTGCATTTTCAATATTTTTGGGGGGGTGCCAAGTCATTCGGTCCTACTCACAAAATATTTAGCCGATTACTYTTTTTAGAAGTCCAAACTTGCGGAAACTAGCATGGTAGGTCGCGAAGCCAAACACAAGACAGCCAGGGAGCCGATTTCACTCTAATGGCGCCATCGGCTTCAAAACAACCGACGATCGCCATTTTCTTCGCAAAATCGCTTTCCACGCTTTGCCGAGCTTAATAATGCAAGTCTAGGGGCTCTCGTACTTCAGTTTGACTTCARTTTTAACAATTTAGAACCAAGTTTTGCTGTGTGCTTTGAACGAGCTGTTCGCTATTCAATGAAACGAGCAAAATCTTAGCAGGCATCCCTCGAGAGTTTGAGTATTTGGCTATGTAAATCGGCATCAGTTCCCTTGACAACCGTGAAGTCAGTGCCGAAATCGGTTTTTGAAGCTTTACACCTTTAAAGCGGTTAAAAATAATTGGTAATTAAAGGGCTAAAGCGAGCGATATCTGTTTTAGTTGAAAACAGTCACGAGACTAAACGAAAGCGCGAAAACTGAAATGTTGTCTTTTACAAATTTGCATTTCCTCCGATTTGAGGCTAAGCCTGAATGCTTAAACTTTARATTTTGTGGGAATGTAGGCTTAGCCTCGTGAGTTTAGCGATCTCTTTTACCATGTCATAGCCTCAATTGTGTGCTAAAATATTCAGAAATGGCAAATAATCGATAATTCTAGTGTATAAGCCGAGTCTTCATTAGTCCTATACCATATTGTCTTTTTCATAGTTTATCCCATTGTTCTTTCTGTACACAATATCGCAGATTGCGTAGTGAACTTTTGACATCGCACCGTGTTAGCCGATATTCCATGCTTACAGAAAGCGTAGTCGATTTTTAGCAAATATTCGATGCTTAAAGAAATCGTAGTCGATTTTTAGCAGATATTCCATGATTACAGAAATCGTAGTCGATTTACAATTAGAAATGTATTTCCGACCCCAGAAATCATTTACTCGCCAGCGCATTTTAACGAAAAAACTGTGAATAATAGTTGTTGGATTCGCTTTTAACTACTTTAAGCTCCTTCAGGYGTGGTCAATTGCGTAACTCGAAAAAAACCGTAAGTCGAAGCGCGTAACTTGAAGATTACCCGCCCTCGTTAATTATACCACTTTTCTAAGTCTAAAGCTCACAAAATCTTCAGAAATATTGAAATGCAGCTGAAGTAATTATCAATTATTTACTTTTTCATMTTTTATCTTATTGTTATTGTTCTCTTTTCATACAAAATCATCAGCTTTTTCTGTTAGTTGTTTCACTGAACAATTGCTTTTCAGTTACATTCACAGCAAAGTTATCAAACCTCTATTAGACGGCAAAGTATTTTGTTTGTTCCAAACTTTCCTTCAGTTAACACAGTAGCTCAAATTTGCCTCGGTCACGTCCAGCGCATAAAGACCTCGTTGCAAATGCAATCTTTGTACATGTATATTCTTTAATTTACAAATAATATTTTTGGAATATTTTCCCAAAATTCGAGGGGACAGAACAAGGGAAACATTCAGGCCTTTTTTCGGGCGTTTGTATCATCATGCATGATCAATATTAAATGTCGATAAAAATCRTACCTTCACAAGTTAGAGCGCTCCTTATTGGTCGTATGATTTTTTTCACAGCTAGTGAAAAATATCGTACGACCAATCAAAGTCCAGATACGATGTTTGTCACTAGTGAAGAAAATCGTGTCGGTTTCTACATAACATGATTGCCTTCACTACTAGTTTTGTCATTTAAATTTTTTCTTTGTTAAAAACAAAATAGAGATGGTTGTGTAATCGGTACATAACACGTGTGGATTTGCAGCTCACGATTGAGTGAGTCTCATTTTGAAAACCAATTTACTTTTAAAATATCTTTGCGATTTGCTTCAATTCCGAGRACTCCTCAGATTAGAAAGTGGGACTGAATCATTTTGATGAATTTTTGGTACGTAAATCTCAGTATATATATAATAAAAAAACTGATACTTCGTAGCTGAGTGAAACTACAACGTGGCTGTCTGATTCTGAGTTGCATAGCCTAAGTTTTCCAATTTGATAGGGGAACTCACGCAGGAGTAATCCTAGATGAAGATGGAAGCGATCATGGTTTTATAGAGGTGGATTACCTTMTTGTTGACATCGCTGCCATGRCGCAAACTATTTCGATACTGCGGTATGCTTGAGGYTTTTAAAAATTATCACAATTAAAATCAGTCTATCCATATTTTTACTTTGTTTCAAAGTAGAAGTATAAACAATAAAAGACTATCAGAGTGAACGAAAATAAATAATTTTACAAAATTAAAGATGACTATACAATTAATAAAGTCGGATTTTTGTTATTGATAAACAAAATTTTAAAAGTCTTTAAAAACTAGAGAGTTGATTAATTCAATTATGTAATCACGCTACTCGAAACTGCATACCATCTGCACATGCGTGTCCTTCTGATGTTTAGATATGCCATTCCGATGAGATTAAAAATACCACGTTCGTAAACAAATGTTAGTAAGTTTGATTATATAAAACGGCAATTAGCATTACTTAAAAACAACGATGTGCATACATGAGCTTCCTGTGCCTATGGCTAGCCGGGCTAAAAAATGCAGCATCAGATTTTCTACTCAGTTCTTCCAAACCGATTGAAATCGTCAAAACATCTAGACTAAAAGATTCTTTCACAATTTTTATTTGTAGCTCCCGATTGTCCTCCAAAAATGAAATCAGTCGAGGCCCTGTCTTCCACAAGTATCCGAGTGACATGGGACCCACTGCCAAATACCAATTGCAGGAATGGAATTCTGAGAGGCTACAAAGTCTTATATAGAAGACCTCGTGACCGATATTGGCAAGCATCCAATGTTGGCCCTGCCGTCAAATGGAAGGA